ATTTTAATATTCTTCCTTGAGTATTAATTAATTCCTATTCATATTTCATGTTAATATCTTAAACATTACTTAAAGTATCAACTAGTATTGTTTCTCATATTAATTATTACTAGAATCAATCGGTTAATACGCTTGTGATTAATCCGGTTCTTTCAACGGTAGTAAACTTGGAATATTAATGCATGCATCTCATGGTTAATATGCCAAGGGGAATTAATTATATTGATTAAACCAATAAACCGCTTGTGTTGAGGTTATCAATCTCAATCATTTTCATCTTAAGTTTATTGCTACTATGAAGTTAATATACGGCGCTTGTTCTATATTGACTCGATAGTAAGTTTTATTAATGAACGCATCTCGTTATTAATAACTACCCTCGATGAACTGGATATACTCCTCGATTGAGTATTCGAGAGGAAGATAGTTAAAGATATAACCGGGATCGACGAACATTTCATTAAGTGGATAAAAGCAAAACCAAGTCCCCATCTCATTGAATTAAAACTCATATAGGTCGTTTATCTTAGTGTTATTAAACCAAACAAATCTAAACCCCCTTGTTATTATTTATAGAAAAGAAAAGTATTCCTTTCCCTGTGGATACGAACCTTACTACACTATACTACGTATTAGTGTCGTATTGATTAATTATTTTGAGTGCACCTAACGACAAGTGCACGTCAGGGATTCCATATGCTTCTGCAATTGGTTCAATCATGTATGCTATGATCTGTACTAGGCCAGATGTGGCTTATGCGCTTAGTATTGTTGGTCGATATCAAAATAATCCAGGAGAACGACATTGGAGTGCTGTTAAGACTATTCTTAAGTATGTTAGACGAACTAAAGAAAATTTCTTGGTTTATGGTGGACAAGAGGAACTAATAGCATCTGGTTACTCTGACGCTAGCTTCATGACATATAAGGATGACTATAAGTCACAATCAGGATATGTTTTTAATCTCAATGGAGCAGCAGTAGACTGGAAGAGTTCCAAGCAAGACACTACAGCTGATTTGACAACAGAAGCCAAGTACATTGTTGCATTAGAAGCAGCTAAAGTGGCCGTATGGATACGTGAATTCCTCAAAGAATTAGGGGTTGTTCCAAATGACAGTCGTCCAATAACCGTTTATTGTGACAATACTGGTGCTGTTGCACAAGCAAAGGAACCAAGATGCGACAAGAGCAATGGACATGTGCCGAGGCGCTATCATGTGATTCGAGAGCAGATAGCAAGAGGAGAGGTTATAATAGAACGTGTTTCCACGGAGGACAATTTGGCTGATCCCTTCACCAAACCTTTGAGCTGCGAGAAACATACTAGACATTTTGAGAATCTAGGTGTTAGACGCATTGGTGATTGGCACTAGGCCAAGTGGGAGATTGTTAGTATATATGTCCTAGCGACAATCATTTTTTTAGAGACATATGTACTTGATCACATTTAGTTTTTATATTTGATATAGACACGGTATTACACTTTATGAATGACTGTTTTCGATTGTCAATGTTTTATTCATAATTGTGTTCCCTTGGATTTATGTTGTCAATAAGTAAGTAGGAGCTTATATGATATAACATAAGGACCTAAAATAGCCCCAATCAATGATCATCAAGAATGGGATATTGATGATATGCGATAAGATTGGTATGTGGACTACATCATACTTTTAGAAAGTATAGTTGATCTCACAACTATGAGTTCCTGTAACTCATGATGGTCGTATAGATATTTTAGAGAATATTGGCATACCCACCGAGAAACCATTTGATAAGTTCTATTCACGTGTCTATGGGATTATCGGCATATAGAGTAGTGTAATAGTCCTCCGACTTGAGGTCAATACGTACTACATGTGCGGAGTGATGTACTTTGAGCATGACCAACGCTTGCACTCCAATCGGGGTAGATACAGCATGTGTTGGGTGCATCACGAAGCACATGGAGTAGTAGTTGAGTCAAGAAAGGATTCATTCCTCATAATAGATTAAGAGAGAACATTCTATTTCTCATATCTAGATGGACCATAAAGTCATTGGCCAATGCAAAGATATATTCGTTTTGGATATCGAATATGATCGTTATGGATCATCTAGAAAGATTGAGAGACAGAGACTGAGTTATTGGCATAGACACAATATCATGTTCTAGACTTAGTTGAATGTTCGCTGAATGAAAGGACCGTATCAGTATGAGCTCTATATTACAGGGAGTTTGTATAGTCCTGCAAACGTCCTTATATATTAAGTTTGTCTGGGGAATCGTCTAGGGATTCACTAAGACCTTAATTTGATTAGTGCTTAATATATAAGGCCCTATGGGTCATACAAAAAGTGATTATACCTTCCGATTGAATTGTTAGAAGGAATTAAATATTATTAATTGGATTAAATAATATTTAATTCATTATACTTAAAATGGATTAAATATTAATTAGATTAAACATATTTAATTCATGAAGTTGAAGGATAGTTCTATTTGATAGAATTAATTAAGTGAAATAAATTAGATTTATTATACTTAATTAAGATGTATTTTTAATTAAATAAAGATGTCTTTTTCTTTTGATTTTGAATTAAAAGAAATGAATAATAAATAAATAATAATAAGAGAAGGGAGGTGTCGTGTGCAGCCCCTCTCCTTCCTTAATATTATTATAGTTTATTATTTGTTTTATTTAATTGATTAAATCATTAATAAGCATTAGTCCTGTTAGGACTAGAACTAATTAATCACAAAGACTTTTATTGTGATTGGGAAACTAGTTTAGAACTAGTATAAATGCATCCTCCTCCTTCATAATTATGAGACCTCTTTTCAAATTCAGTATTACCAGTTTATTTCCCTACAAAGAGATTTCTTAGCCTTTCTCTTAGGGAGATCTAACCGTTCTTTCGAAAAGGAGAAATCACGTGGATACCAAAGGTCAAGGATTATCACTGCTAGACTGGAAGATGTGTAAGTTCTAACTCAGATATGTTATTATTGCTATATTCGTTGTTTTGTCATAATCAGGGAAGATCTGTTTGGAAAAATTTTAAACTTCCGTTGTTGTACTTTCGAGGTACGTTACATCAATTTCCTAACAGGGTAGGTCTAAATGGGCCTCGCTGACTGGGCTCCATGCCGCCCTGATGTCTTGTGCCTCTGAACAGTAACGGGCTGGGATAATATTCCCCACCACATAATGTTGAGTTTAAGTCCAACATAAACTAGTAGATATAGATATAATTTGGTATAACACTCGATTTTTACGTGGAAACCTGGAAAGGGAGAAAACCACGGGACTTTTTAGGCTAACGTCTAAGCCCGCTCTTTCTCATTTATCCTCTCCTCTCCATTTACATAGTACAAATCTTAAGCTTGGAGCTTTCATTAATGGAGCTTGAAATAACTAATCTACATAAGAAGAAGCAGGGAGAAAGACTCCTAGGAGAGAAGAGCCATCCCAGAAAAGAGAGTCCCTTTACATGGAAGCGTTGCTTCCTATTTATAGAAGAGAGGGGGGGGGGGGGGGTGCTTTCTAGCCTAATGGGCCTAACGGCCTTATCGGGCCGATATGGGTCGTGACAGGCCGAGTGGGCCTAAATGGCTCTTAATGGGCCTAAATGGGCCTCACTGACTGGGTCCCGTACTGGGGCAATGCCTTGGGCCTCTGAACAGTAATAGGCCGGAATAATATTCCCCAACACAAGTCCCCCAGTTTCTTGTGTCGGGCCTCGTTACAGCAAACTAAAAGAGATCACCAATGACAACAACTATCAGTAACCAACTAGCACAATCAACCCTATGACTAGACTTAGAAACGATCACCCTTGAAAGAACAATACGAATCACTAAACAATAAACGGGTGCGACACAACAATCACTGACCATATAGATTCTTCTAATGACATAATATATAGCAGAATTGTCCATCATTATTATAGATCTAAAACTAAAGACATCAACAAAAACAGAGCAACGTGAACAAATATAACGCGAAAATAAGACCACAAAATATAAAATAACTCATAAATACGCCACTCCTCCATGTCACTTATCCTTTCTTGAACCTGCATTTGATCAAAATGCAAAAGAAAAATTGATCCGCAGAACTGCAACATTGCAACGCTCTCAACACGCGAGAAAAAAACTCTAGCTCTCAACCAGCGAGAGAATGACCGCCTAAGTGCCTAACACTTGTGTTACGTTTAGATTTTTAGAAATTGATGATCCTCATCTTCTAAAAACCATAATATATTTTAACAATTTCAAAGTGATAATTGATATTCTTGGTATCATTAAATTCTGCACCGGTTTGACATTGGGAGGAAGACATTACACGTTGATATGTTTAAATGGTTTTTTTATTAACCAATTAATGGTTAACCTATATTATGGTTAAATGCTACCCGATTAAGCAACGCTACATTATATGATTAATGCTATTATAGACATACTAACTCAAATCACGGTTAACCAAAAGTTGAGTAACCAAAATGCGGTCAACCAACCGTACATGCCCACTCCTAACACATATATGCAAACGTACTTTTGTTTCAAGAATTATGTTCACTTCTACAACACTAACTAGTGTGAAGCTATACATATAATAACTTTAGTGATAGTTTCCCCATAAATTTTATTTGATTAATATTCTATGAAACTCTTCTTACAATATTGAGATCAAATAATCGTTGTCAATCATGCATTTATATAAGCACCATACGTGATACTCGCACTACTTAAGACAATTAAAAAAGTCATTTTCTAATTCACCATGTAATGTATGTATCTCATGCAATTCAAGTACAGTTATCAAAGTGGCGTACGTACATACATGGATGCAAAAGGATGAATTGATACAAATCTAATGTACAAAAGTTTGAACTTATAATAAGTTTCAGTTCATCTTCAAGATCCCATGTTGGTTTTAAACAAGAAACAACATTCACCAAGCACAGGTTGATAAATGATAAATCTATATCATAAAATGCATAAAATGAAAGAACACAGGAACATGATCATATCTATATTTTTCATTAGTGTAGAGGAAAAACCTTCTTGGTGTAACTCCATTCCCTTACATGCTTCAATTCTCTTTTTATGGGAGTGGGATATGGTGGTTACACCAAGTGGGCTAAAAAACCTCCCACATGATCAAAACTAACTAAATTACAAAATAACTAAACTAAACATACGTCTGTAATGTACTAAACAAAATATGCAGCTAACATCCCACCGCCGGGAGAAGTGGTTCCGCTGGATCTGAGTCACCCAACATACAGTGCTCAAGCCACCGCAGAATGTCTTTATCCGAACTCATCGTCTCAACTTCAAGACCAGTGAAGGGCTCCATATTATTAGCAGGAGCAGGAAGAAGTAGATGTTCATCATGATGCCATGGTGTGGTAAAATTGTTCAACTCCTTATAATCCTTCTCCTTTCCATTTCCATTTTTCTTCTTGTGATAATAAATCCTTACCAGCACATAGTCATCTCCCTGTAACAAAGTGAATTAATCAATATATGTGATACATATATTCATCAATATATATGATAATCTCTTAGCTTCCTTAATTAATGGGAAGTATATGAACTTACAATATTATTATTATTATCATCTCCATGATTGAGAGAAAACTCGTGCATCAGCCAGTCCGTTTTCACTCCTTTGAAACCACCCTTTTCTGGAAATCCTTGGTGAAAGGCAAATGTCTTTTTGGACCCGATTTCCTTCTTTCCAGACCCGTCCAAGACCGGATGAGAACCGGATGTCCTCCAATACCCATTCCCGGCTTTCCTGCACCGCCGTTTTCTTGACTTGTTTGACTGCTTCACGAAGAAATAGCATGCATCTTCTCCCACTGTCCCGTACTTGCCTGATGATCCAATTCAATTTCAGATTTATATATTTGCACTAATAAGTGAATAATAAAACGATGAAAGTAATTAAATAATACTTGAAGCAACCAACCCCTAAATTAAATAATTAATACCATCCAGAGTATAATCAATCATATATATTGTGATAAATCGTGAGAAATATGGAAACCTAGCTGGCTACGTAAATTGCGAACTTACAAAGAATGTCCCTGGGATGGGTTTCGTAGATATTAATGGTATGACGAATGATCGGATGAATAATGGGCAGACCCATAATCTTTCTTCTCAAGAAGTAATCCACCAGCTCCTCGTCCGTCGGCACGAACCGGTAGCCCACGCCCAGGAAGAACTGGTGGTTATTATCATCGCCGCCCCTTGACGCCGCCGTGTCATCCATCATCCACCGCCCACCCGCCTCCATCGATATGATACCTTGCGGCGTTGCAGTTAGTACGTCGACTTGCAGCACACGTACGTACCGTATAGCTAGTGGTATGATGGACTAAGCTAAGTGATGATTGTAATAAAATCAGATAGAAACCCTAAGCTACATATATATAGCTAGTCATAAATAAAGTGGATCACTACGTCGTATTATTATTCCGTAAAATCAGATAGAAACCCTAAGCTACATATATATAGCTAGTCATACATAAATCTTAGTAAGACAAATTTAGGTGTTAATTCACAATATTTAATTATTTCTTTTAATTTCTATCTTTTCTTTTTCCTTCACATTTTATGTAAATCATACTGGATCATAATATTATTAACATTTGTATTTATCTTATAAGCATGTACACCATTATTTGTAGTTATCTCATACACACTCTCAGTGGTAGTTAGTTAGCAATTATCTCATACACACCGGAAAATTTCAATCCAAGTAAAAACATTCTTAGGGAATTATTTCAATTACTTAGCTCATTCAAGCTCGAGTTCGTGCATTCTTATCAAGTTCAAGCTCAAACATACACATGTTCGAACTCAACTTGATTGCCTTGTTTAATTACACCCCTACTCGAAATCAATTAAAATCCATTCAATAAAGAATCATGAAAACCTACGGAACGATTGGGGACACTTTGATTTAATGATATCCAAATTTCTATAGAGCAGTTAAAGTCCATTACAGTGAAGAGTCATGCATGAAAACCTACATAAGGATTGGAGACACTTCAATTTTAAGTATTACATTCATAAAAATTGAATAATATAAGGATAACCAAATATGTATATATAGATTCCATATTTAAGTTAGGAGATGTTTCCAAGAGAGGAAACCTATCTACCGTCTCCCCTCTTTGTGGGCATTGAGATTTTCTGCGGCAAATTATACTCATTTTAGGTGCTCTAGCGTTTGGGACTGCAACTACGTCAGAGAAGATGGTGTTGGCGGATGAACGAGTTGCGGCTGGACGATTGTATCAGTGTTGGATCGTGAAGCCTTGGCCGCCCGCTCTGAAAGTGGCGGCAATGGTATTCACCCAAATTGCAAGAGCTCGTCCTCCTCCAGAACCACCTCGATACCAGGAAGCAAAAAATATTTCTTCCTTATGAATATATTTTCACCTTTCCCTTAAAAATCAAAAGATTATGAAAAACGCACCATTTGTTTGTGCAATCTAAGATCTTTACTTTACTTTCTTCCTGACTTTGGCCTTTAAAGTCATATGGACCTTAAAATCTTAATAGTATACATTTTCTTCACCCACACAAGGAAAAAAATCTAAATGGAGTCTGTGTGGCCTTCTTAGGCAGGTTTACTGTGCAAATGCTATCACTTTTTGTTGTGTAACCAAGTCTTATGCACTAATTGATTGTGTGTATACATCAATAACGTTTTTGGAGAAAGCTGGATGTCATTATTGGGTGCTTAAAGCAATAAGATATTCATTTAACAATTTATTTGGTTGTACTTTCTCTGCTACTTCAATTTACATTAAGACTTTGTCAATATCGACTATTATTTAGGAATAGCTAGCAGCAAAATATCTTCCTGAAGAGATAAAAGAACTGGTTGGAAGGGAATTAATATTCAAAATAGACAAGGCACGTGAAAATCGCACAAGTGGCGGTGTGTATTACTCTATCAGCATGATTTCAGAGGATAGAGAAAAAATAGAGCGTGTGAAATCTGCAATTGTATTGCAGTCCGAGGTATTCCCATAACTTCAAGCAGAGTGATTGCATTTTTGTTGTATTATGTGTCAGTGATGTACAAATAACTCTCAATAAATGAAACAATCTACAGTCCTATAATTCAGATGAAGATCTAGAGCTGCTTTCGTACTCCACAATAGGGGTGGAGTCCAGCATGGTATGCCCTGGTGTTTTAGAGATCCTCATACACTTCCTACATATGTACTTGTGGATCGTTGCGCTTACCGCTACATTAAAAGAAATCGCTGATAGTGTAGCACGCTCCTCTCCCTTTATAGCACAAGCAAAGCGCCACGCAGTTCGATTGCACCGGCAGGCTGGCAGATTGCTGGCACCGCATACCCACGGCCCAACAATCTCCCCCCAGCACCTTCCAGCCTCAACTGCGCAGCATGCTGTTGTCGGGGGTCGAACCTGTGACCTTGGCTCTAATACCACTTGTGGATCGTTGCGCTTATCGCTACACTAAAAGCAATCGCTAATAGTGTAGCACGCTCCTCTCCGTTTATAGCACAAGCGAAGCGCCACGCGGTTCGATTGCACCGGCAGGCTGGCAGATTGCTGGCACCGCATACCCGAGGCCCAACAGTAATGATTTGTGGTTGTACATTGACTGAATTTCAACCCCTTTTGATTTTAAGACTCCAAGCTCCTTTGATAATAAAAATGTACCTACTCCACACTCATCAATTTCAAAACGAGTTTCGGAAGGTGATCTTCTAGGATCTGAAACAGGATCCAGCCAAGGCTCGAGTGTAAAAAACACAAGTTCATCAAGCTAGAGATGGACTGAAGTTCAAGCTTCCTGATTTTTAAACCTCTTCAAAGCAGCCTGCACTTTTAGTAAATTAGGAATAATAGCATATATACTTGCTCCATGAACATCTCTTCATGATGCTTTTTATTCACGTGCTCTTTTAATATTAGTCCTTTTAACAAATTTGGATTTCTAGCGTATGTAGTTGATCCTTTGAATGATTATCTATTGGATTTTATTGTTTTACTTTAATACAAACTTCACTGAGCATTTAGTAAAATTCCAGTGTGTGTGTATAACTTCAACTCTGAAAAAGAATTTAGTTTTTGTAACCACCTTATTATTCATGGCTTCCTGCTATTTCTTATATGCCAAAAAGATGAGGTAAGTCATGTTTATTGTAATAAACATCTACTGACGTGCCCTTGTCGTGAGGTGCACTCAAAATAATTACAATACAACGATTATACGTAGTATAACGAAGTAAGGTTCGTATCCACAGGGAAAGGAATACTTTTCTTTTATATAAGTAGTAACAAGGGGGGTTTAGATTTGTTTGCTTTAAAAATACTAAGATGAACAACCTATATGAGTTTAATTAATGGATATGGAGGCTTGGTTTTGCTTTTATCCACTTAATGAAATGTTCGTCGATCCCGGTTATATCTTTAATTATCTTCCTCTCGAATACTCAATCGAGGAGTATATCCAGTTCATCGAGGGTAGTTATTAATAACGAGATGCGTTCATTAATAAAACTGACTATCGAGTCAATATAGAACAAGCGCCGTATATTAACTTGATAGTAGCAATAAACTTAAGATGAAAACGATTGAGATTGATAACCTCAACACAAGCGGTTTATTGGTTTAATCAATATAATTAATTCCCCTTGGCATATTAACCATGAGATGCATGCATTAATAATCCAAGTTTACTACTGTTGAAGGAACCGGATTAATAACAAGCGTTTTAACCGATTGATTCTAGTAATAATTAATATGAGAAACAAAACTAGTTGATACTTTAAGTGATGTTTAAAATATTAACATGAAATATGAATAGGAATTAATTAATACTCAAGGAAGAATATTAAAGGATATGAATCCTACTATGATTAATATCAAGATGTTAACTAATTGTCATCCTAGTAACACTCCACAATATTAACATAGAGGAAGAAATAACTATTACTATAACCAATGTCAAGATGTTAACTAATTGTCATCTTAGTAACACTCCCCAACTTTGATATAGAAATAGTATTTTAAAGGAAGAATTAATATTCAAGAAAGAAGATTAAAGAAAATAACTCACAACTTACAAATTCATTAAGCTTCAAAGTAGCAAAACCAAGATGGAAGAGTTTAGCTCCTCATTTGGAGACTAAACATGATGAAAAATATAAAGAAAGAACTATTCTAGACTGAGCTTAGATGTATAAAGGAATTGGATATCTATTGTGAAGGAAAGGGGGTGTATTTATAGGCTTTTGGGATGGGATTCGGGTACTCGATCGGGTATATACATGGTACCCGATCGAGTATGTGTGTAATACCAGATTCGAGGTATACTCGATCGATTTTAGGCTATGTTCCAAAGGTATACCCAATCGAGTATATGTTTATACTCGGTCGAGTATGTGTAGAAAGTGATATTCGAGCCATACTCGACCGATTTTGCGTTTAAACTCAAAGGCATACCCGATCGGGTATGTCAGTCTACCCGATCGGGTATAGACACTCAATCATGGCCGAAATCTTCCCGGCATGTTCCCTTGTCTTCGGATCTGATCCGATTTGAAGTTTCAACCTAATACCCGATCGAGTATAGGTGATACTCGACCGAGTATAGACCAAAATTTCAGGATCCTTCTTTTGTCTTCAAATTATGCACCTTCCTTCCACTTTTTGGGATTCACCAACTATCCTTTGAGTGATCAAGACTTGTTTGAGCTCAGAATATACCTAATCTAAACTATTTACAGGAATTTAACAAACTAAACTATTACACCAAAAGTGTGTCATTTCCAAAGTAAAAATCAATCAAAACTAATTCAAAACACAAACATACATATGGAAATTAAAAATGTATCATCTACCCAATACATTACTTACATGCTATCTCAACTAAGCAAAAAGTATATCTTCTATTATACAACAATAGGAGAAAAACTGCCCAGAATTCCCGCTCAAAAACGTCCAATCAACAGGCGGGTCGGGTCTCACGCGTGGCGGTTCGGGTCTGGCAGCTTATTCAATGCTCTGTTCTTTGAATTTGGAGAATTTGCTTAGCTACTGCGGCTGAAATTGCTTGGCATTAAATGCATGCCCAATGACCAATAAAGCATTTGTGGGGCTCAATAAAAAGTACATCAAAGATGGGCTGCACGTTTTACAATGGAGGAGAAAGGAACAAGGTTAATTTTAAAAAATGGGCCAAGGTCACTTCGAATTAATTAGTGTGTGCTTCAAAATCTTTAATTGTCATTCAAAAATCTTTATGGCTGAATTTAAATATATTTTCGAAGAGCTGGTACATCATAGATGGACTGCACGTTTTAAAATGTGTACTATAAAATCTTTGGAAAAG